GCCTTCCCGCCCGCCCATCCCCCCCCCCTCGGGCCCTCTCCCTGCCCGTCCCTCGAGGCCTCTGCGGCGGCGCGCCGCTCCCCAGTGTAGTCGGTGTCGACCTGGAGGGGAGGGGGGGCTGGCTCCTCGTCCTTCTCCTCCTCCCCCTCCTCCTTCTCCTCCTCCTCCTCCTCGGGCCCCCTCCTCGGGCTCCCTCCTCCTCCTCCTCCTCCTTCTCCTCCTCCTCCTTCCGTAACCATTTTGGCTCAAGTATGCTTTGTTCCACAGGGGAACACGTGGACACCGCTAGTCCGCGGCTAGATCCAACCATATCAACGCCCCGCTGCGTCAGCTAGCCCAGGCGGCGCAGCATCCATCCTCATTCGTTCACGGCCAAGAGCAGCCGATCTCGACAGTCATGGGGAAACTGCAGACTTTGCATGCGGGTGCCAATGTCTATGTGTCTTGTCCTCACGATGGCTGTTATTGCAAGTGGAATTGGAAGAAGCATGCTCGATGTTGGCAGTGCTGTAGCGTCCTACGTCGCGTCGGCGTCCGACCTCCACAGCGAGACGCAGGTGCCTGGAATCAAGGTCCTCCCTCGCTGGCCACCAACGACGTGCCCAAGCAGACCAGCCCGTTCCGCCAGCCACTTGGGCAATGGGGTCCGAGCATTGGCACGCTTCTCCTCGCCAACAGTTCCATGCATCATTCCGCGCCCACCACGGACCAGTTGGTCGAGGCCTTTTCCCAACGCGTACCTCAGGCAAGTTCACAGCTCGAGGCCATCAAGCAATCAGTCCGCCCAGCCCAGTCACGACAGCCAGTCACCAACCCAAACCTCGAGCGAGAGCGGGAAGCACAACGGCTCGCTGTCGCAGCACGCGAGGCAGACGAGTCGCCTGGCACGAGCTCGCGAGACCGTCCAGACCGCGGCGCAGGAAGCGGCCGGCGCACGTCCTGCCCATGAACGACAGCTGGAGAGCGATCTCAAGCCTCTCGAGCAGCTACAGCAGGATGAGAACGCCAAGGAGGTTAAGTCCAAGCTCAACTGTCAGACTTCTTGGCGGAGGACAACGACCTCGACAAAATGTTCGAATGGGAGGGCGGAGAGATTTTCGATCTCTCAGAACTCGACCTGTCCCCCGGTGATATCAGGGCTCGGCAGAATCGCAAGAATACCATCGCAAAGGAGATCAAGCAGCTCATCAGTCAGGCAGTCGGCCCGGCAGCAGCGCAGCTGGGCGCCCGCCGAAAGGAGGTCAACGGTTTCAAGGCAGCTCGAGATGACGAGCCTGAGCCAGTTGATGCATATGCTTCTCAGGGGCCCGCCCCGCGGCCAAGGCACTTATGCCTAAGGCGCAGCAGCCCGCGGAAGCCCCGGCCAAGGCCCCCCCTTCCGCGCCCCCGCTCCAAGGCTTCCCCAGAGCAGGCCCAGAAGCTCTTGGAGACGGATCGGGCAGAATTTCAGACCGAAGCACAATCTTTCGCAAGCAAGGCAGCTTCGCGCTCGCAGAAGACGCGAGGGTCGCACGACTCACATGCAATTAAAGGCCAGACGAGAAAGACCTGAACCAGGTCCAGGAATTCGCAGCATTTTGCATCATAATCCCTCGGTGCGGGGCCGCAGGAGCACCGCAGTTTTTGCCCAGCGCGACGCGGACGTCGCGATCATCCCTAAGACCCCGTGTTTTATTTGGCCAGTGGCACTCATGCCATGCTGAGTGCATTGAAGCAGCGCAGGCTGCATGGACTTGTTTCTCCAGCTTGCCCCGCGGTCAAACTTCAAAAAGCTGGAGGTTTTGTGCTTGGCACTCGGCAGTATCATGCTTGGGCGTCTTCTCGGCATTCATCGGATGGCCCGTGCAATGCTGTTGGTCGTGTGAACGTTTGCGATGCTGCAAGTCTCATGGGTCGTTTGTCCTTCAGAGACGTGGTTACCCTGGAATGGAGAATGTCCAGGGTGTCCTTTCTTGTGGCAGGTGCGTACCTTACTGCGTCAGTTGGTCCTTGCAGTCCGGGCAACGTAAGCAAGCCGCTCGCGACCTCATCCATGATTCCGAACCACTCAGGACCGTGGATCATCTTCGGCGATGTAAATTCCACGCCAGAGGAGCTGGCCAACTGGATGCGCGAGGGGAACGGATACAACCCAGCTGGCATCGCGCACGCACCCACCAGGGGCAAGGGCTCGCGTATCATCGATTGCGCCATCGGGTCTTGTGACTTCTGTTCTTTTGTATCGCGATGCGATACAGATCGATGCAGGAGGTTGCGATCATTCTGGCGTGGTCTTGGGGATGAATGCTGACGCGCATTGCACTGATCGCCGCATCCTCGATTTGCCTAAACCCTTGTTACCTCCGCTGCCATGCAAGACTCGCGGAAGAAGCTCGGGCCAAATCATAGGCACCAATCGCATCGCCATGAGCAGCATGAGCAGCAGTTTGACACGACCAACGGGAATATTGATACTGACGACGAGGGAACTCTGGCTCAACGTCAAGCCGTACAGTCGTATACCCACCTTCCTGGGAGCGCTCGGGAGCTTCTGCGTCGGGGCACGTGCGACTTTGATTCGGGCGCCCCCCAGCGCACGCGGCAGGCTCGCGCCAGCGAGGGTGACGACGCCGAGGCCAGCACGCACGACGAGAACTGCGATCCAGTCAACTATTTGCCATGGTCGACCCAGGATCTGGATGATCTGTGGACTGGCATCGAAGATCGTATTGGATCAGAAGCAGTTGTCTGTTCAATAGGTTCCCGATGCTGCCGTTTCTTTGGGAAAGGAATACGACCGTTTCGCCCACTTTTTTGAGCGTTACTTACGCCGTGTCTTGAATGCACCGCCAGAGCGGGCGCGGCAGCACTGCGGGCGCGGCGAGGAACGCGCTGGCCCCCACGTTGCAGTCCGCGCCCCGCGCGCGCCCCGATGCAGTATCCAAATGGCGGTTGCAGGTCTCAGGATGGAATGGCGAGCTCATCAGGGTCACTGCTGGCGAGAAGTATACCGCTCCACGCGCGCCTGCCGCATCTACTGGAGACGGCGAGCCCCCCCCCCCCCGCCCCCCCCCCCCCCCCCCTCCCCCCATCCATCTGTCGCGCAAAAGTATAGACGCATACAGGGTCAAGATCGCGCCGAGGAGAGAATTTTCGGCGCGCAGACCGTCGCAGGCCTTAGTGGACATGCCTCTTCCTGGTCAGGGCCGCGTCGTGGGGAGCGACAGGCACGATTGGTCCAGTGCTCGTCTGAAGTCGCGCAATTTCTCGCGAGAGTCTCTCGGTTCTATGGGGCTATCAGCCACTGCGATTGCTTTTGCATTGTAGCGGAAAGCCGCTGAAGACAGTTACGCCAACTTTCAGGAGTGGGCGCGCGATTATTTTGAGCATGGCTGTGGTAAGCTGCGCAGCTATGTCAAGCCCGCGGCCCGCAGCGGGACAGAGCGCCGAGATCTCTTTGGAAGTCATGCGAATCTGAAGGACATGCTCACGCAGAAGATCTCTCGAAGGCAGCAGAAGCGGTTTTCCGAGATCTTATCGGTTCAACGGGTCGCTCAATTTCTTCGCGAAGCTCATCGACGACATTGAGAGCAGCCATGGCCAGAACTCCAGCCTGAGCAAGGGGCCATCGCTATCAAGCAGATCAACTCCCAGCGATCGGGATGCACCGAGCAGCTCGGTGGATCATCCGTGTCAAGTACATGTCCCCAGCTGGCGCTTCTCACCTCGCCGCCAGCCTCGAGAAATGCGAGAGATTGGGGGGGGTCCAGGGCAAGCGCGGTCTTGCTATCGTTGCCTTGCTGAGGAAAATGGCACAGATTCTGACCGATCGATCGGGTTACTACCAGATTTGATAAGCTTGTCGAGTTCGACCAGGCAGGTATACCCTTCTGAGTGAGCTAACTGCGTGGCAGGCAAGTGGGGCCATGCGGTCCGAGGCTCGTCTTGTCTTCGCGTGGGCTTGCTTCGAGCTTTCACGGGCGAAGCTGTTCGCGTGGGCCCCAGACGTGGCTCAGCCAGCTTGTTCTGGGACATTTTATATATATATATATATAAATATAACCGCTGGAGACTCTTCGAGCTGGGCCTGGCTTTGATTCGCCCACCGCTTGTTTTATCGACGGAGGGCCCCCTGCATTTAGATGTTCGGACATCCAGAGAAGAGAGATGTTTCCCCCTCCCTGTCCAGGCGCATAGGAGTATCATTGCCGGTGCCCGCCGTGGAGTTGAAATTGGCAGATTTCATTTATACAGGATTTTGGAGGCTGACCACAACCGTTTTTCATCAAACTGTTGATACCGCGTCTTGGGTTGATGCTATCGCACAAAGTGCTTGTAGCTCCGTCGGGTTTCTCTAGCAGGCTCTCGCCAAAGCTGGGGCTCTCTTGGCCAGATTATGTAACGAGGCGCTCTTGAGCATTGCCAGCAAAAGTAAGATCATCGGGGGGGGGGGGGGGCATCAGTTTGGCCGGGGATATTGCGCGCAAGTTGGCACAGCACAGTACCAAAATCACAGTGGCATCTGGGTGCCGACAGAGGCACGAGCATGCGAACACGACGGCAGCAGCACGACAGACGGCAGCATGGAAACAAGTCAAAGAAGCACGCGCACTTCTGGAAGCAGGCCGCACTGGTAAACGCACAGCGCACGTGGAGTCATATCCAGGTTTGTTATGCCAAGTTACAGCACGGTGCAACCGCAAATGGCACGTGCCTCTCGGCGGTTCAGGCGCGGCGCAGGGCTATCGGGGCCACCTTTGCCAGCTCCATCCGCGGACGCTGCCTCGACGCCCTGTTGCAGCTGGAGCTGGGCGACAAAGACCCAGCCATTTCTCAGGTATTCAAAGTGCTCCACAGTTGGAGGGCCATTTCATCTTCCGGAGATGAAGCGCGCAAGCTTGCAGCGCGAGATTGGAGCTCGCGCGCCTCAAAGGCCAAGGGGAACCCCAGGCACTGTTGGCGAAAGGTTGCAGTGCCCGCAAGGGCCGTCGTGAGCGCCCGGCTGCGCATCAACTGGGGCC